CCTTGGATCGTCTCGGCCGAAGTCCCAGGCGATGGGTGCATTGTTCTTGCTGGGGCGCCACGTGCGCCGCCGCCTACGATCCTCCCGCCGCAGAGCCACGATCAGCCCGTCGACGACGCCGATGGCGACGGACGGCCTGCCATGAGTTACATGGCGGGGTTGCGCCGTAAATGTCGGCGCCGCTGTTGGGGCAGTGCCTGCAACGCGGCGTGTATGTCGGCTCGCCAGTCAGCATTTGCACTTGAGCGTGGGAGTTGCAAGCTTGGCGCAACGTCACCATGATCATCACCAGCATCACCGCATCACCATCATCACCATCAAGCATCATCGCCATCATGCAAGCTGGGATGAACACATCATCATGATCAGCACTATCATCACCATGATCACCACGATCACCATCCATCGTCCTCGGATCGTCGTCGCCCTCACCCCATGAACTTCAGCAGTGCGCGTGCCTCCCTTACATGCTTACCCGACCCTTACTCGCCCTCCCCTCAAAGCAGCAACGCGCGGTTTGGAGGCCCGTTTTTTGGGGGGGGTCGCAGACTGGAACCTCCGCGCAGCCGCCGCCCCTGCAACTCGTTTGCCCCAGTGCCCAACCTATCTCAGGGTTACCGCGGGCCCCTGGTCCACGAATCACGAATATGAAACGGCGGTCGGCGACTGTCGCTATTGCCCAGAAGGTGGGAGTTGAGGGATTGGCGCATGGGCGAGGATTGGCATAGGCGAGAGGAGGGGCACGACGCGGTGCAAGTAGACGAGGGCCCGACAAGGGCGAGGATTGGCGCGACGGGCGGGATGAAGGACGAGGGTGGAGGAGGGGGGGGGGGGACCTGGGGGGTGGGGGGGGGGGGGGGCTCATTTCCTTACCTGCGCTGCGCCCAGGACTCTCCAAGATGTGATGTCCCTGGGCACGCTCGGCGACCTCGTGACCGCATCGGAGGACGACTGATCACCAAACGATCGCGCGCACCTGATCGTGCTTCGTCTGCTCCCTGCTCCTCACGCTGTTCCTCGTACTCGTCCTCATCTCTGACGCCTCGGGGTCCGTATCTCTGACTCCCTTCTCCCCCCGCCTCCTCATCCCCTCCTCAATATCTGACGCCCGCTTCTCATCCTTTGCCTCTCCTCCTCCCCCCGCCGCCACCGCCACCCCCGCCTCTCCTCCATCCCGCATCTGCCGACAGCGGGGCCCTCGGGATCGCTTCGGCTCGAGTTGCGCCCATCCCCCCCGACCTCCGACGTCTTTCAGGCCGCTCGTTTATGGGGGTTGCGCGGAGCGGAGTGCTCGCGAACGTGAATGGCAGAGAAGGATGGGGGCTCCTCGCCACCCTTCCCACCCATAAGCCCGCGGGGAATCTCAGATGGGGGAGCTTGACACGCGGGGGCTGACGAGGAGGGGGGGGGGGGGTCGACGGCGGAGAGGGGCCATGCCACGTATCAGTAGGGAGAAAGAGAAAGCGAGGATGATCGGAGGATAAGGATGAGAAGTATGGGGAGGTGGAGAGAGAGGCCCTGGTCACTGTCGGGACTGGCGTAATGGCGAGCCACCGCCGGGGCAGTCGTCAGGGTCAACCTGGCGCGCGCTAGCCGCCGGATGACGGTCGCATTCGAATTCGCCAGGGCCTGGGTCAGGATTTTGGGCGTCTTGTCTTAGACATCCGCCCCCCGCCCCAGCCTCGTCCCCCCCCCCCTGGACAGGCGCCGCTCGCCGGCGGGGAGCTCGGCGCGTTCGACCCCGGCCCCGTGACGTACGAGGCGCGGCATCCGGACCTGCAGGGGGCCTTGCTGCGCCAGCAGGCGGCCGCGCCATTGCGCCGCCGCCGCCGCTGGTGGGGGAGGTGGGGGGGGGAGGGCAGACCGATCCCTTCCCTCGGGGGCGTTAACAGTTCGGATCGAGGGGGCCCCTGCTACCCCCCCGAACGACGGGCGTGGGGGATGGGTTCCAAGGGCTAGAGCCAGCGGGCGCTGGAGGAGGAGGAGAAGAGGAGGAGAAGATGGAGGTGTAGAGGGAGGGTGGGCAGGGGAGGAAAGAGTGGAGGAGCTGCTCCATGAGGGTGGTCGTGGCATCCCCACCCCCTGCGCAATCGGTGGGGGTTGTGGGGCGGGCGGTTCCAAGAGCCAGTCAGCATGCGCCGACGGAGAGGGTGGGCGATGATGGAGGACGAGGGGGGAGGAGGAGAGGGGGAGAAGGAGGAGGAGGAGGCCGACGAGAGGGGGAGCGGGAGGAGGAGACGAGAAGGATAAGGAGGAGGAGGCTGAGGAGGATGAGGAGGTGGGCAGCGAATGGGGGCGACCCCCCCATCCGACATCAGCCTGCGGCGAATCCGCAACGTCAGACGTGGGGGCGTGGCGCCCCTCGCTCTTCTCATCCCCCTCCTTACCGCTGCCTCATCCTCTCGTCCTCCTGCCATCCCCCCCTCTCTCTCCGCTCGCCCACCGCTCCTCAGTTCAACTCGGACTACGTCTTGCCGCAGACGCAGTCGGTTCCGTTCTTTCACGGCTCGGGGCCGAAGAAGGGCGAACGGGTGTTCGTCCGCCACAGGATGAACCAGCGCAAGCAGCTGGCCACCCGCAGGTTCTACGCGAGCCTCGGGCTCCGCCAGGGCGTCGTGTGGAGCGACAGGGCCGGGGGCATTGTCTGCGTGCCCGACGCGTTAGATCCTGTGAATTGGGCGCCGAGCGTCCTTGGTGGAGCGACGTTGATCGACGCATGTTACGACATGATAGCGGCCTCCACGGCTCCAGACGGCTCCATCACCAATAAGCAGGTGGCGTTGCTCTTGAAGCACGGGGTTCCCCAGGGGACGCCATAAACGCGTGATCTCTGGTTGGGGGGGAGGTGCCCCTGAGGCTCCTGAGGCACTCGGTTCGGCCCCCATTTGGCCCGGCGCCGCCCCTTTTCTGGACTTGACCCCCGCGAGGCCGCCCTGGCTGCAGTTGGTCCAGTTGGTTAGCGTTTTTGGACGGATCGGCTTTCGAGGGCCCCGGGGCCCAGGGCAGACAAGCCCAAGCCCAATTGTTCAACCGCCAAACAGGGCCCGACACGCCCTCGGTTGCGGGGGGGGAGGGGGGAGGCGGGCGGAGGGTGCTTGGGGGGCTCGCAGGTTCAGCGGGTCGTGATCCCCAACCCTCGCATCCCGATGGACGCGAGCTACTTCATCCGCATCCAGTGTAACAAGATGGTGTCGATTGGCCACAGCACGTCGTTTGCAGAGCTGCTGGAGTTGACCCCGGTGATCACCCTTGCTTGGAATGCGAAGCGTTCAGCCGATCGGCAGAAGACCCAGGTCCAGACTTCTGAGGGTCCCGCAGTCGCAGACGCCGATGGCGACGGCGACACAGCTTTGGTGCCAGCGAAGAAGAAGCTCCGTACCCAAGCTGGCTTCGAGACTCAGTATGCGCAGTTCCTGAAGGATGAGTACGCCGACTGGTTCACGGGATTCGAGAACTACAAGCGCGCGGCCGGCTTCAGATCAAAAGTGGACAACATGGGGGCATTCGTGCAACTGATGGAATTCTGGGGCGATCACTGCTGCTTCGAGGATCCTCGCCTGAAGTCTTCGAATGTGTTCTTGGTGTTTCAAGATGTGACGAACATTTTGCGCGGGCCAACCTACGGGGACACGTTCAAGGATATCCTCGTTGAGGTGTTGAAGTACGCTGTTCCTTCGGACCACCCGGATTTGGTCAACGACTGGCTCCTTACGTCAACCAAAGATTGCAAACGTGTCTCCGCCTTGTTGACCATCGTGGATTCCACTGTGTTCATTGACGGTGCGGCCCCGAAAGCCAAGGCGAAAGGGAAAGCCAAGGCCAAGCCCAAGGGCAAGGCCAAGGCCCAGCCCGACGCATCATCGGTGAACTTCGAGGCTGAAGTTAACATTCGTGGTGGGACCTGGGAAGCGCAAGAGTGCATTCGCCGATGACTTGCTGCACGCGGTGCGCTCCCCGATCAAAGACATCCCACTTGAGCAGAGGCACGCGACCACCATTGCTACAATGCTCCGCTTTGGAGCCAGGCTGGCGATGAAACTGCCCGAGGAGCCGCCCGTCTCATTCAAGTTCCCTGGGGAAGAGTCCGCTCAGAGCTTCAGTAAGTGGGTCCCTCTCATGGAGCGCATCATCGAGCACGTCGCCAATGCGCTCGGGGTTGCTTCGTCCACCGCGCCCGAGGATCAGGGGCCGACGCCGAAGCTGGCTACGACTGAGGACAAGCCTGCTGAGCTCGACGCCAACGATCCGGCATCCCTGGTTCGCGAGATCGGCATCCTCCTGCACGGGGCTGATGGCGCCAAGGGCAAGACTCGCCCCGCTGACAAGATCAAGGACGGCGGCTGACGCATATCCAGCGTTGCCTTGAGCCTAGCCTTGAGCCCCCTCCCGCCCGCGCCCCTCCCCCATCTCCTCAGGCCATCTCCTCCATCCCCCCGCCCCCCCTCCGCCTCGTGAGGGTGCGTGGCCATCGGGGAAGGGGGGGCTGCGTGCATCGCCACCCCTGGGGCAATCCCGGGGGGGGTGGCCGGGGGCCTGGTCACGATAGCGGGAGCGAGCCTGATGCGGGGGCGGATGCCGGCGGATGGGTAGAGGAGGTTCAGGGGGACAGGACTGTAGGATCAGAGGAGTAGGCCCTAGGCGAGGATCGAGGAGGAGGAGGAGGAGGGGGCGGCACCTGAGGAGGCGGCGGAGGAGGAGGAGGGCGGGAGGGAGAGGAGGGGGGAGGGCCCAGGGAGAGGTGGGGAAGGGGCAGGGTAGGTGTCGGAGGAGGAGGAGGAGGAGGAGGAGGAGGAGAGGAGGAGGAGAGGAGGAAGAGGAGGAAGGGGAGTGACAGCAAAAAGCAAAGGGAAATATGTTGGAGGGGCACTGGAGGGAGAGGGTAGAGAGACCGAGGTTGGACTTGATGAGGGCTTTCGTTTGTGATTGTCGCTCCACCTCAGGACTTTCTGACTGACAGCCCAGTGGCGGACTCATTCGACGACTTGAAGAGCACGCGCGTCATGTTGACCAAGGCGACGGGGCTCTTTCTTAAATTTCTTCGGGCTGCTGATGCAACTGCGTTCGAGAAAAAGAAACCAGCCGAGCTCGCGATGGTCTTGGCGGAGAAGGCGTGCAGCCCTGTGCACTCCGGAGCTCCTCCGAACATGTTCCTCATCTCTGGCCACCTCCTGAAAGCTTTCGACCTCAGTGCAGCCTCGTCCGAGATCCAAGCTTGGATCAAGGAGAAGCGTGATGCCGATGCCAACGCCGCGAGACTGTCCAATCTGCATCTGACCGTTGAAGCACTTGGCCTATCAACGTCAACTACGGTCTCTGCCCTGTGGGGCAGTCTCGACGCGCTGAGCACCACGCACAGACTTCGGTTCCGTTACGTTCTGTTGATGCTCGAGGCCGCCGCGAACATTATGATGCCCAAAGAAGTGATTGACTACATGAAAGAACGTCTCGCGTTTCTGAAGACTTGGGCTGACGAGTTCATCTGCTTCGAAGGCATGATGGTTGACGAGACCGAAGTCGTCGCTGAGTTCTGGGGCCCGACATTCGATGCCATCCCTGCGCTCCAGAGACTTGCAGAGCGGGCGGCGTCAGACGCTCACTGGAGGATGCAAGAAGCGAACATCAAGAAGCAGATGATGCTGAAAACCAAGCCCGTGTTGATTAAGGAGGATGCGGTGCGCCTGCCCCCCTCGGAGAAGCCCAGAGGTGCAGAGTGGGAGTCTTTGACTAAGCCGCAGATCGTCGCCGTGGCCAGTGCCGCGGCACTCCGGAACTCGAAGCAGGCGCGCGCCGAGCGCGTGGCCACTTGGGCAGCAGCCAAGGCGTGCTTGTACAACGACGGCCTAGAGAAGTTCTATGAGCTCGCCAAGGCTGCGGATGCTGCGGCCGCGGCGGCTGAGGCGTCCGCGGATCGCACGACCGCGACGCCTGCCGAGGTCGACGATCCGCGCCAGCAGGAGCGGCGGGATCGGGCTGAGCAGATGATGGAGGAGGGCGATGAGCACGAGGACGAGGCCGGGCAGGCGGTGCAGGCGGCGGCGGCTGATGCTGGCGAGGGCGATGGCAAGGCTGCTGCTGCTGTTGATGATGCTTCGGGTCAGGCCATGGGCGACGGTGAGGAGAAGGAGGCCACCGCGACGACCGATGAGGCGGTCGAAGCGGCTATCGCTGCGAAGGTCGCGGAGGCGCTGGCGTCGCTGCAGACAGAGAAGATCGGCAACAAGGAGTGCGCGAACGTCTTCTGCAGCATGCTTGCCTCTGATAAGGCGCGCGCCACCTGCGAGGCGCAGCGCATCGGCATCATGATGACGAACTGCGTTCAGTCGGGGTGGACAATGAACCTGGCCAAGACCGCCAATTCGGATGTGAAAGATTCTGGGCTGCAACACATCCTTGCCCAACCCTCTGCGCTATCGAGTGGTAAAGGTGCCGTGCCATGTTTCCTAGACCTCGCCAATCCCAACCTTCATGCGGACTCACTGGGCATCCGCCTCGAGCTCGTCGGAGATATTGTCCTAGCTCCTGCTGACCGTGATTGGGGTAGCCAGCTTCGCGTGGAGTGCGGGGCCATGACCGTCGCGGGGCACCCGTTCACCATGTGGATGCTGCCGACGTTGCACCTCCGGGACCCTCGGGGGTCGTTGCATTGCCTTGCCTGGACGATCCCGCTGGCGAAGGCCAAGCCGTCGAAGATTGACACCGACGGCAATGCTGTCGCCGCGGAGCCAGCCAACCCCAGCATGACGTTCGATAACGAGATGGAGGATGTGCAGGCCCACGTGGGGGCCAACGCACGCCCGAGGGAGTCGTTCTCGATGGGGCCCCCGTGGACCGTTGAACCTTCGAACCTCGGCTTGTTCGGAGGGGGGCGGACGGGGGGGCATGAGGGGGGGGAGGGGCAGCAGTAGGAGCAGGAGTAGGAGTATGAGGAGGAGGAGGAGAAGAGAGATGAGTGACGGATGACGCGAGGCAGGGGCCCCTGAGGCGGCCTGGGGCGACGGGGGAGGATGGGGGGGGGGGGGGGGCATGGCGGGGGTGGCATGCGACGGAGGAGGGCGGGCAGGCGAGCGCGCTAGACGGAGGATGAACCTGAAACAATTGACTTCGAGGTCTCGTGGCGTCCCCCGTGCCTCTCGTCTCTCCTCCTTCTCCTCCTCATCCTCCTCCTTCTCCTCCTCCTCCTCCTCTCCTCAAGCCTCTCCTCCTCCTTTTACTCATCCACTTCCGCCTCATCCTTCTCCTCCTCCTACTCCGTTTCCTCCTCCTTCTCATCTGATCATATCCTCTCTCCTCCTTCCCCCCCTCCTGTTCTTCCTCGTCCGATTCCTCCTCGCCCTCTCGCCCTTGCGAGATCGACGGCCACGCCGTCACCTTGAAGCGCTGGTACCTCGCGATGGACCCGAGCTACCCTGACCTGGCCGATGCCATCAAGAACCGCCAGGACTCTGGCGAGGTGCCCGAGAAGGTCCTGAAACTCACGAGGCCCCCCTTCGCGCGGGAACTGCCTGCGGCGCCGCCGACGAGCGGCCTCGCGTCAACGACGCGCACTCTGTCTAAAAAGGCTCCCAGGGCGTTTCGGAGCGGGGCCCAGCGGAGATGAGGGGGCCCGAAGATGAGGATGAGGATGAGGACATGACGAGGACGATGGGGCGAGGAGGGCAGCCGGGGGAGGAGGCGGAGGAGGACGAGGAGGACGAGGAGGAGAAGGAGGAGGAGGAGGCGGATGTGGAGGGAGCGCGAGGGAGAGGCGGTGGCGACGAAGGGGCGAAGGTGATGGAAGGGGGGAGTCCGCGATCATTCCATCGGACTCCCCTCCTCCCCAGCCCTCCCGCCTCGCCCTTCGCCTCTCCTCCTCCGCCCCCCCCCTTTCCGCCCGAGGGGCCCTCCGCCGCATCGAGACAGCTGCTGAGGGTGGGGGTGGTTTGCCGCCTGCCGCCTCGCCCCCTGGATGCCCCCCCTTCCCAGTGCGTCATGGGATAGGACGGGGGAGGGGGGGGGGGGCAAGCGGCTGCGCCCCCCCCCCCTTGAAGTTTTGGGCTGCGCCACCCCCCTGGGCCCACTCCCAGGGATCGGCCAAGAGCCTGGGCGCGGGCAGCGCGCCCCACCTCCTGGGGTGAGCCTGGCGCGCCGGCGCGGCGCGCTGCGGCGTGCTCGACGGAGGAACGAGGTCAGAGGAGGAGGAGATGAGGAGGGCGCGCGAAGATGGCGCGCGAGGAGGGGGGCTGAGGAGGACTCGAGGACTAACGAGGTCAGAAGAGGAGGCGCGCGAGGACCAGAGCAAAGGGCAAAGGGGCAGAGCACGCGACTGACGAACGAGGTCAGCGGAGGAGGAGGGGGGGGGGCACTCGAGGTCACCTCGAGGTCCATGGGGCCACGACACTCAGTAGGTGGAGGGCGGGGTGAGGCAATGGTTCCGCCTGTTCGAGGGGCCTCCTCGTTGCCACAGCTGGACGCGATCGGCAGTGGATCCCCAGCCCGGTGCGCGGTCAGAGTGTGAGTTTGAGCGGGCGTCACCATTGCCTCACCGACGCACTCGGCGTTCCTCATAACGACGGGTCGTCGCTGTCGCCGCGACGTCGTCGAGTCTACGATGTCGCAGCACCGCTCAGCATCACCGTCTTCGTTGGTCACCGTATTCGTTGGTCGTCGAGTCGTCGCCTCCGCCCTGCATCGCCGTCGTCGCCGCGGCGACGGCGACGACCCCGCGACTCCGCGACTCCCAGAGCGACGCCAGCGGGGGCGCTGGGGCTGCAGCCGCAGCGCGATGATCGATGGCGACCGCGCCGTGCTTCTGCGGTGGGAAACGCAGCTAGCGAGATCCCGTCCCGTCATCTCGTCTGTCTCTGTCTCTTCTGTCTCTCACGTTCTCGCTCTCGCTGCTCTCGCTTTGGCTCCTCCAGCTCCTGCTCTCGCTCGCTCTACCCCCCCCCCCCCCCTCTTCCTCCCCCCCCTCCCTCCCCCTTCTCCTCCTGCCCCCCCCCCTGCTCTGGGCCTTCCGTCAGTCTCCCCTCCTCCCTTCTATTCTGTCCTGCCTCCTCCTCCCTGCTCTTCCTGCCCTCCCCCTCCCGCTGAGCCGCCGCCGCTGTCAAGCGCGCGCTGGTGATGTGGGGGCGAAGGCGCGCTAGACATACGCACGCGCGTTGCCAGCCCCGCTATTCACAACACGTTCTAGCTCTCCAACGAACGTAACTCGCGAGGATGCCTCAGCAGGAAGAACCGTCGGTGAGAGAGGATTGCGAGGGCGCCCCGAGCAGGAGCCCATCCGTGTACGCTCGGTGAGCTCTACCAGGCATGGCGCCTGATTGCTTTGTATGGGGTTCACACCGTGCGGCCGCGAGGTCCCCACAGGCATGGCGAATCGTGTGTGGGGGGGGGGGTCTCGGCGCCGAGATCCCCGCAGCCACCTTGGCAACGATATCCGAGCCCGAGTGGGATTGCCAGACGACGACGGCGACGAAGTAGGGGGGGCGACGACGAGACGCCGACGACGGACGACGACGACGATGGAGGAGGAAGGACGACCACGGCAACAACGACGACAGAAACGACGATGCCAAAGAGGACGACGACGAGGAAAGACGAGGAACGACGAGGACGACGACGGCGACGACGACGACGAGGGAGGAGGGAGGACGGCGACGACGACGACGCAAGAGCGCGCGCGAACGCTTTTGTTGACAACCAGTGTTGCGAAACCCTGTGTTGTCGCATGTTTTTTGGACATTCGATTTTGACATCCTTCCGAAACGACGCGCGCGCGACCACGCGCGCGCGTGCACTTCGTCCCATTCTGTGCTGTGGATTCTCGCGACGGCACGCGCGCAAGGGCGTTCGAATGATTCGACATGCGCGCGCGCGAAACCCGTTTGGTAGGTTTCTGAGAATCTGTAGAGAAAACAGCTTTCTTACGATTTCGCATGAGCGCGCGCGTAAGTTTCTTTTGTTTAAAAAACATATAAAAAATGTGTTGCAAAACCATGTGATTTTGTTTGTTTTTTTTGGAAACCCGTGTTTGGAATCTTTCCGAAACCTAAATCAGGTTTTTGAAGGGGTTCGGCATGCGCGCGCGACGACGCGCGCGTGTGCACTTCGTCCCGTTGTTTTGCATGCGATTTTTGAAAAGTTATGATCTGTGAGAAACGATTGTGCGCGCATCATTTTTTTTGGCAGAGGATGGCGGGGGGGGGGCGATACAGACCCCACTGGGATAGTGTAAGTTCATGTTTAGGATGGACGATGGGGCATGACCATATGTAAATTGCAATACGGAGTGGGGAATCGTGAACCCCGTGGGGGGAGGGTGGTAAAACTTGTTTTTCTGTTAGAATCTATTTATCTATATCTGTATTCACATTTATGGGCAATCTATGTGCAGCAGCGTATCTGGCGGCGACGGGGTGGCGACGGGGCGGCGACGGCGGCAACACATAGCCGCCAGACTTCCAGACGGGTCCAGACGACGAGCGGCGACGAGGCGGCGACGGAGCCGCCACGGCGGCAACATAGCCGCCAGACCGCCAGGCAGGCCCAGACGACGTTCGGCGACGAGGCGGCGACGGGGCGGCGACGGCGGCAACATAGCCGCCAGACTTCCAGACGGGTCCAGACGACTGTCGGCGACGAAGCGGCGACGGAACCGCGACGGCGGCAACACTGCCGCCAGACCGCCAGACAGACCCAGTTCAGTAGACATAGGGGAAATTGAATAAGACGAGAAGCAAACCTGGCTAGTTCAGTGTCCTCCTCCTCCTCCTCTTCCTCCTCGTCTTCACCCCCCGGGAGGATGATGATTAGGAGGACGGGAGGAGAAGGACCGGTGTAAACCCGAGACGTATCAACGATGTTGCAGTATACTTTCCTCCAAATTTGTTTCTTCATATTTCCCTCGAAGAAGCTATTTAATCGCATCGCTCATTCCGCCGGCCCATTTCGCATCACTGTGGCTGCGTGGTTGTGTTGGTGGTCCCCAAACGTGGTGGTGAGAACACCCGGTGGTGAGTTTTGGGCGATTTGGGTAATGGTTTTCGAGCGCTGGCTGGCCCAGGAAACGCAAAACCTCGTGGCGACCGCGTGTCCCCAAACCCGGTGGTGACCCAGAATTATTTTGTTGGGGGAATCGGGGTCGCCACTGGGTGTCTCAACACCTGGTTTGGAGACCACCAATTGTGTTCTCGTGCCCTTGCGGGCCTTCTGGGGGCCTCAGGTCCGCTCTTGGGGCTCTTGGGGGACCCTTAGGGCGGCGCCCAGGAGCAGAATCATCTCTGATGGGAACTTGCTGGGGACCTGCCCGGGACTTGCTCGGGGTATTTGTTGGCCGCGGACCTCCAGGAACCGCCCTGCGCGCGCGAACTAGAAATATTGTTTTCCAGTTGCCAGAGGTCTTAACACGCCTCTGGTTTGTTGGGCCGCCGGAGCTGACGCCCACTAGTGGTGTTCTGCCTATCCCGCCACCGTGCCTGGGTTGCGTGTCTGAAACCACTCGGAGACGAGGAGGAGGAGGAGGAGGAGGAGTAGGAAGAGTAGGAGGAGGAGGAAGAGCAGGAGTAGGAGGAAGAGGAGGAGGAGGAGAAGACGGAAGAAGAGGCGTCAGCAAATTTGGAGCGCGTTTGGCGTGAGGCCGTGGGGCGTGGCACCTATGAGTTGCTGTGGGCCACTATCCAACCACAGTGCCTGAATGATGTGCCTGAAGCCACTCGGATCGCTGGTAGAGTTTCGAGGGAGGCTTCTCGAAGACGTTTTGGAAGGAGTTTTTCAGTTTCTAGGGGGCTCCCAG